ATCCCCACAAATTCCTGAGGGCATCCTCGCCCAGAGCATGTTGTCTTCTTAGATAGGAGCCCCCCCCGCGCCACAACCCACCCCCAAATTTGGCTTTTTCTTCCAGGAGCCTGGCTGACCAGCGCCTGACCACCATGGAGGAGGCAGGCTGGGTGGAGCAGGGTCGGGCTCTGCGGCCTCTGACCTTGGCCGAGTCCCATGGTCTTATTGCTAGGGCAGTGAGACTGCCTCCTGAGACTGCTGAGAGTGACATGGGGACACAGGAGGGGACCGAGGGCCCACAGCCCTTAGCGGTCCTTGTTCCATGTGCCCCCGCCCACCCTCCACGCCAGGCCTGAAAGAGGAGCCAGGAGAGGTCGCAGCAGCCTTGGTGGGGGAGCAGTGAGGTTGGGAGTCCACACCCAGCACCTGGGGTCTCCCCCGTCCCTTGTGGGCCTGCTCCGCCCTGGGTCAGGGCCACGCCTAACTCTTACTGGGATATATGGTGGCGGTGGGTCGAGCCTTCCCAAAGTCAGCCTCACGGGTGAGGATGCTGGAATTCGGGTCCCCAGAGTCTTGCTGATGGTGTCCCGGCGTCGGCAGGGAGAGACGAGGGTGTCGTTTGTTAAACGCTCGCGTAGCCCCGCACGTGCTGGGCCCTCTTCTGAGCGCTCTCCAGTCTGGCCCCGTGTAAACCTCACCCTATGACATAGTTAACACCAGCAGTCCCATTTTGCAGATGAGGGCACTGAGGCCCTGAGGGCTCACAGCTAGCAGGTGGCAGAGCCGGAGTTTGAGCCCAGGGGACCCGGCTCCTGAGTCCCCGCTCTGCGCTGCGGCTCGGACGTCTGCTCCTCGGTGCCCCGTGGGTCTCGAGTTCCTACTTTGAGACAGAGCAGCGGCTGGAAGGAAGCAGATAAGGAGGTTGTGCTTCCCGGAGCACGAGGGCCTGCCAACCCTCCCTTCGGTGTGGACCGCGGTGGCCATGAGCAGGGCCTGGGGAAGGCCCCGGAGGGCGCCGGGGAGTGTGTGGGCAGCTCCCCTCGACCTGTATGCCCGGAGGCAGGAATTGCTAACGGGACCCCAGCAGGCAGGAGCCACCTGAGCAAACTCAAGAAACAGCAGGGACACGTCGAAAGAGGAGAGGGCACAGAGGCAGCTCCTGACCCAAGACGGGCTGGTCACGCCCCAGCAGCCGGCCAGGGACTGCCCTGTGCCCAGGGGAGGCTTGGTCCCGGGAGGTCTTCACGTCCAGGGAGGCGTGGCTCAGACGCGCTGGCTGCTTCTTTCCTGAACCATTCCTGTGAGTGCCGTGACTGGGCACAGATGGCAAGGGGCAAACAGCAGCACCCAGCAGGGGGGAGGGGACCCTGGGGAGCACAGCTGTCGTGTCCCAGCTCCAGGCTGCGGCCCACTCGGCCACTTTCCAGCTCTGTGGCCTTGAACTTGCAGTCCTAGTGTGGCCATCTGGGTACAAGGGGCCAGCTGGCCTGCAGCAGCAGCCGGGGGTGGAGCCTGGCCGTCATGGTTGGCCCCACACTACATGGTGGGTGGGGTGGGGTCTGGCAGACCTGGGCGGTGGGGGCGAGGTGGATAAGGGGAGCATTTCTGTGAGGACCTAGGGCTTCCCAGGTGTTCTCCGGGGCCAGCAGGGCCCAGGGAGAGGCAGGCTGCCGGGAGTGTCCTGGATGAGCCCTCAGACACTGGCCTGGCCCCAGCCCACGCTGCCACCGCGTCGGACGGGCAGGGCCACCCCTGCAGGAAGCGGGCGGCAGGCCCAGGCCCGCAGACTGTGGCTGCAGGGCGGGTTTCCTGGGCGTGTGGCCGGTGCAGACGCAGAGGGCCCCGCACTCAGAACGGACACTTCTGATCGGGGCTTTGCACTCTGCTGCCGGTCTCCGGTTCTGAACAACTTAACTGTGAACCCGCCTTTTGTAGATGAAACCTGCTGTGCCAATGGAGCACCCGACCCTGTCACCTCCCTCTTCCTGACCTGCCCCTGCAGGGTCTGCGGTGGCCATGCTGAGGCACCAAACCCCGCTGGGTGTTGAGGTTGCGCCGTGGGGCTGCCGTCACCACGGCGTGGATGTGGCTTCTATCCCGCGCCCACCCCAGCGGGAGCACCACAATGATGGAGCTGACCACGTGTGGCGGGCGTAGCCCTGAAGACCCACGACCAAAAACTCTGCTCTGTGCTGTCCACAGAGGGCACAGCTCCCCGGGAGCCTTTTGTCTTTTGTTTCAGTTTTTTGTTTTTAAAGTGAAATTTAAAATTTTTAAGATTTATTTATTTGAAAGTCAGAGCTACACAGAGAGAGAAGGAGAGACAGAGAGAGAGAGAGAGAGAGAGAGAGAGAGCGAGCCGTCTTCTACTGCTTTCCCAGGCCATAGCAGAGAGCTGGATTGGAAGTGGAGCAGCCGGGACTCGAACCAGCACCACATGGAATGCCGGCACTGCAGGCAGCGGCTTTACCCGCTACACCACAGCATTGGCCCTGCGTGCATCTTTTAAAAAAGTAATCAGTGTAGGGGCAGGTGTTTGGCGCAGGTGTGCAGATGCCAGCAGGGATGCCTGCACCCCACACAGAGTGCCCGAGGCCCGAGTTCAGTGCCTGCTGTGGCTCCTGATTCCGGGGGCAGGGGCGGGTCCTGAGGCAGCAGGGACTCTCGTGGCACCCACATCACCTGCAGCACAGAACGTGCTGCAGGAACCTGGTGCTGCTCAGGAAGGATGGCCCTGACCACACCAGAGCCCCTGCTGGCACCATCAGGCTTGGGTGGTCAGTCCAGCCTCAGAGCCAAGCCCCCAGACCGCTGTGGCTGATGCCCTGGCCACACCAGAGAAGCTGCCCAAGCCGGGTAGATTAGCTGGCCGACTGATCTGTCTCAGGAACTGGGCCTTGGGGAGGTGGGGAGTCTTGGAGGGGACGGTGGGAGCTAGAGCTCAGGGGGTGCGCAGAGAGCAAGCCCAGGGCGGGAGGGGCCTGGAGGGCCAGGAGGGGGAGGGGCCGGTGAAGCTGTGCAGGCGCCAGGGGAAGCCTCCAGGAAGCAGGCGGTGGAGGAGGCTGTGAGGGCCGGCTCCCGGCAGCCCTGGGGTTGCTGAGTAACCGGGAGCCTGCAAGGACGAAGGCGGCTGCCCCGATGCCCAGCCTCGCCCTTCCCTGCCTCTTTCGGGCCCACGCCAGGGAAACCAGGAACCCAGGGAGCAGAGAGCAGTGGGGTGAGGACAGGCCTGGGGGGGAGCACAGAGCTGTGGGGTGAGGACAGGCCTGGGGGTGGGGAGGACAGAGCTGTGGGGTGAGGACAGGCCTGGGGTGGGGAGGACAGGGCAGTGGGGTGAGGACAGGCCTGGGGGGGAGCACAGAGCTGTGGGGGTGAGGACAGGCCTGGGGGTGGGGAGGACAGGGCAGTGGGGTGAGGACCAGGCCTGGGGGTGGGGAGGACAGGGCAGTGGGGTGAGGACAGGCCTGGGGGTGGGGAGGACAGGGCAGTGGGGTGAGGACAGGCCTGGGGGTGGGGAGCACAGAGCTGTGGGGTGAGGACGGGCCTGGGGGTGGGGAGCACAGGGCAGTGGGGGTGAGGACAGACCTGGGGGGGAGGACAGGGCAGTGGGGTGAGGACGGGCCTGGGGGGGAGGACAGGGCAGTGGGGTGAGGACGGGCCTGGGGGGGGGAGCACAGGGCAGTGGGGTGAGGACAGGCCTGGGGGGAGGACAGGGCAGTGGGGTGAGGACGGGTCTGGGGGTGGGAGGACAGGGCAGTGGGGTGAGGACAGCCTGGGGGTGGGGAGGACAGGGCAGTGGGGTGAGGACAGGCCTGGGGGTGGGGAGCAGGGCAGTGGGGTGAGGACAGGCCTGGGGGTGGGGAGGACAGGGCAGTGGGGTGAGGACAGGCCTGGGGGTGGGGAGGACAGGGCAGTGGGCTGAGGACGGGCCTGGGGGTGGGGAGCACAGAGCTGTGGGGTGAGGACGGGCCTGGGGGTGGGGAGCACAGAGCTGTGGGGTGAGGACAGGCCTGGGGGGGAGCACAGAGCAGTGGGGTGAGGACGGGCCTGGGGGGGAGCAGAGAGCAGTGGGGTGAGGACAGGCCTGGGGGTGGGGAGGACAGGGCAGTGGGGGGAGGACGGGCCTGGGGGTGGGGAGGACAGAGCAGTGAGGGGAGGACGGGCCTGGGGGTGGGGGAGGACAGGGCAGTGGGGGGAGGACGGGCCTGGGGGTGGGGAGGACAGGGCAGTGGGGTGAGGACGGGCCTGGGGGTGGGGAGGACAGGGCAGTGGGGGGAGGACGGGCCTGGGGGTGGGGAGGACAGGGCAGTGGGGGGAGGACGGGCCTGGGGGTGGGGAGGACAGAGCAGTGAGGGGAGGACGGGCCTGGGGGTGGGGAGGACAGGGCAGTGGGGGGAGGACGGGCCTGGGGGTGGGGAGGACAGGGCAGTGGGGGGAGGACGGGCCTGGGGGTGGGGAGGATAGGGCAGTGGGGTGAGGACACACCTGGGGGTGGGGAGGACAGGGCAGTGGGGGGAGGACGGGCCTGGGGTGGGGAGGACAGGGCAGTGGGGTGAGGACGGGCCTGGGGGTGGGGAGGACAGGGCAGTGGGGTGAGGACGGGCCTGGGGGTGGGGAGCACAGAGCTGTGGGGTGAGGACGGGCCTGGGGGTGGGGAGGACAGGGCAGTGGGGTGAGGACAGGCCTGGGGGTGGGGAGGACAGGGCAGTGGGGTGAGGACGGGCCTGGGGTGGGGAGCACAGAGCTGTGGGGTGAGGAAGGCCTGGGGGTGGTTAGGGAGCACAGAGCAGTGGGGTGAGGAGGGGCCTGGGGTGGTTAGGGAGGACAGGGCAGTGGGGTGAGGAGGGGCCTGGGGTGGTTAGGGAGGACAGAGCTGTGGGGTGAGGACAGGCCTGGGGGGGGTTAGGGAGCACTCACTTCCAGGAAGCACCGAGCAGGGAGACAGGCCCTGCACAGCCCCAGCCATGACCCCAGCCACCCCCCCACCGCCTGCCCCCCTCCCCCATCACGAGGCAGTGGCAGCCCAGGGGAATCGGCTGTCCCCGGGGCCAGAGAGTGTGGGCTGGAGTAGCCCCGGGCGTGGACCCCATGGGAGCTCTTGAGCCCCTCCTTCGAATGGCATCGTGACGCCCACTTCCCGGATGAGGGTCGCCGGGAGGGAATCGATCTGTCTCCACCCACCCTGCTCTGAAAATCCTCCATGCTCCCGAGCGCATCTGCTCAGCAGTGTGCACCTGTGTGTCAAGCGCCCATGTGACCGGAGACTGAGCTCCTGGTGGGCAAGCATACGTGTCGCACGCACACACACACACACACACACACGCGGCTGTCACGCAGATCGCCTCAGTGTTAAGTCAGCAGTATTGACTTCGGGTCATCTACAGGGGCTTTAACACGCCATACTGTCACACATGGGCACAAGATTTATGCGGAGTAGTAAGGCCAAAAGTGCCGACTTAGGGACGGTGCTAGTGGACTGCCTCCCCCCCTGCCCAGAGAACTGGAGCTTGGCCCACGTGCGCCGTCCTGCTCCCCAGCCCTCCAGGACTGCCCAATCAGGCGGAGTGGAGACGCGGACGAAGAGAAGGGGCAGGGGGCTTGGGGAAGGGAGTGAGCACCAGCCACACAGCAGCTACCAGGCCCCAGGGCAGAGGGAGAGGGACGCGGCGGGATTCTCAGAGGCACGGAGGTAAACTCTGTCACCTTTCTGGTATGTGACACACACAGGAAAAGGACTTACATGGCTCGGAATCGCCACGGATGCCGGCCCCGACAGCACTCTGGGACCGGGCAGTGCGAGTCACGGCTTTGCCAGGGTTGCGCGCCTACGTGCAGCCGACTGTGCCGATGCGTGTTTTGTGCGTGTGTTATCCGAACCAAATCCACAGCGCAAGAGCACAGGTTCTGAATCATCCCAATTCACGTTCAAGCTCCGGCGTGTTGACCTCAGCAGGCGACTTCGTGGTCAGCTCCTTTCGTACGGGGAGCATTGTATCCAGGGCTCAGCTGGGTTGGAATGGCTGCTCTCTTCCCCAGAGTCCATTCCTGCCTTCTGCTTATCCACACACCCTCATTTTGTGCAGTATGTCCCGTGCCCAGGTAAAGATTCACGCTTTGGGGGCAGTGGGTAAGCCGCCTCTTGCGCTATCAGCATCCCATACCTCTGACCCAGCTCCCTGCTAACGCACCTGGGAAAGCAGCGGAAGACGGCCAAGTGCCTGGGCCCCTGCCCGCCCGTGGGAGACAGATGGAGTTCCAGGCTCCTAGTTTCATCCTGGCATAGCCCTGACTGTCATGGCCATTTTTGGAGTGAACCAGTGGGTGAAAGATCTATGTCTCTCTCTGTCACTCTGCCTTTCAAATAATTAAAAATATCGTTTTTTTCTAAAAATGAACATCACAGTCTTTTTCTTAAAAAAGGATTTATTTATTTATTTGAAAGACAGAGTTATAGAGAGGTAGAGGCAGGGGGGGGAGAGAGAGAGAGAGAGAGAGAGAGAGAGTCTTCCATCTGCTGGTTCACTCCCCTAATGACTACAAGGGCAGAGCTGGGCCAGGCCGGAGCCAGGAGCCAGGAGCTCCTTCTGGGTCTCCCACACGGGTGCAGGGAGCCATCGTCTGTTGCCTTCCCAGCACACTGGCAGGGAGCTGGATGGGAACTGGAGCAGCTGGAACTTGAACTGGCACCCATGTGGGATGCCGGCCCTGCAGGCAGCAGTTTTACACAATACACCACAGTGCAGCCTGGCGCGGACACGGGGCTGTCGCCTTGTGAGCCTCAGGCCACCAGTCTGCGGGCAGAGGGGAAAGGCCTGGAGCCCAGCTCTGCAAAGTTTCCTAGAAGAGGAGGTGGTCTCGTCTCGCTGCTCCGTTACTGCGGCCGCACGCACGCTGCCCTGCGGTCCTGCGGAAGAGTACGTGGAGTAAACACGGCGTGCGCAGAAACTCGCTCCATCGCTGCTGTCACGTGCGGCTGCCAAAGACGCCGTGTCCACGGGTGGTCCCCTCGGGTGGAGCCGCCGAGCGGTGTCATGGCTCCATCGCTGCTGTCACGTGCGGCTGCCAAAGACGCCGTGTCCACGGGTGGTCCCCTCGGGTGGAGCCGCCGAGCGGTGTCATGGCTCCATCGCTGCTGTCACGTGCGGCTGTCAAAGACGCCGTGTCCACTGTGGTCCCCTCGGATGGAGCCGCCTAGAGGTGTCATCGCTCCATCCCTGCTGTCACGTGCGGCTGTCAAAGACGCCATGTCCACGGGTGGTCCCCTCGGATGGAGCCGCCGAGCGGTGTCATCGCCGTCAGTTTGTGTCAGTGCACTGTGCGTTCACCCAGCAGCATTGCCCACCGACACGCCCCTCAGAGGGTGTCCCCTCACTTGTGTTTGCTCAGGAATTCATCCAAGCAGGACTTGCTTTCCCCTCCTTTAACTAGCCTCCAGCGCTCGGCACAGATCCCTGCCTACAGGAGGGCCGCAGCTGTTATCCCCGGCACATTGGATCCGGATGCCGCGTAGGATGGCCTGCCTGTCTTTGAGAGCCGAGAGGTAGAAACCTGCCCTCTGCTCACAAATTAGGTGGCAGCTCCAGTGAGGCACCAGCCGTCAGCTTCGTGTCGGGGCAGCGGGCACAAGGGCGCTGACGGAGCTTCTTCCACCCGCACTTCCGGTGCCACTGCTGGGTCTTCCGGTGCCACTGTCGGGTTTTCCAGTGCCACTGTCGGTCTTGCTGGGTTTGATCCACGGGCAGGAGAATGTGCAGGCTGAGGTGGAGCCAGGCTGCCCGGCGCCCTCAGAGCCAGGGCCCTGCTGGCCCCAGTCCCCGCCCCGACGGTGGGGCAAAGGTGAGCGGGGAAGCTGTCTTCCTGGAATGCTGACTTTGGACAATTCCTGGAAGGTGAGTATGGATCAGGAGACACTGGGGGCACGAGCGCCTGTGACAGGAGCTTCAGGGGCCCACAGGGAGCTCGCCCGTCCTCTGTCCCCCACCAAGCCTGGGGGCACAGGCTGCTCCCAGCCCCGCCTGGGGAGCCAGCCCAGCGGTGGAGCAAGACGCTTTGTGATCTCCACTCCGGGGGCAGCCGTCCCTGCCCTCCCACCGTGCCCTGTAAATCCAGACGAGCTCTCTCTCAGCTTTTCTTATTCACTATTTATTGTTTTAAGATTTCTTTTATTTATTTGAAAGGCAGAATGACAGAGAGAGGGACAGACAGACAGACAGAGAGATCTACCATTTCCTGATTCACTCCGCAAATGGCCACAATGGCCAGGACTGGGACAGGCCAGAGCCAGGAGCCTGGAGCTCCATCTGGGTCTCCCACGTGGGTGTAGGAGCCCAAGCACTGGGACCATATTCTGCTGCTTTAGCAGGGAGCTGGATGGGAAGTGGAGCAGCCGGGACACAAACTGGCGCCCCTATGGGATGCTGCCATCGCAGGCAGAGGCTCCCCGCCGTGCGTCAACGATTTTAAAAAGGTGCATCACCCCAGTCCAGAGGCTGCCTCCAGAGGGTGACCTCTGCACAGAAGGGAGGGTGCTTCCCAGAAGCCCCTGCGGCCTCTGCTCAGGCACTTAGTGGGCACTGGGTCACATGACCGTGCAGAACTGCAAAGGAGGCTGGGCAAGCAGGTGCCTCCTCATGCTCTCCTGGGGCTGCAGGGACCCATTCTGCTCTCCCCAGCAGGTCACCCTGCAGCTGGGGTGTCCCCACCAGCCCAGGGTGTGTGGCTGGCCTCTGTGGTGACTCCACTTCTGCTCGCAGCCTGGAGCCCTGCCTGCGTGCTCCAGTATTTTGTCTATCCCGCCTTGCAGACCATGACCCGGGGAGATGAGGGCTGGGCTGGGGTAGCACCCAGGAGCCAGGGGGAGCCTTGCAGTCCCTAGGCTTGAGCATGGCGTGCGGAGAAGCCAGGCTGTGAAGCCGGGCAGACCTTCCAAGTGTGTCAGCCATCTGCGGGCTGAGGTCCAGACCTGCCTGGACCTGAGCCCGAGCAGAGGGGAGAGTCCCAGGGCAACCTGCATGTGGCTGCGTGGGTTCCCTCTGCCTTCCCAGCCCTGCACCTTGGAGCTGAAGGGCGCGGGCTGACGCAGCCACTGTCCACCCCCACAGTCTCACGTGTCCTGCTGTCGGCGCTGGGTCCGAGATTCCTCTCAAGCCGGGTTGTGCCTCATTCATCCCTGACTTCCCGTGAGGTCACCTCTTCATTCACCCACAGTACACGGGGAATGCACCTGCTCCTCCCAACGCTGAAACATGGAACATCATAACTTAGCAACACAGCATCCTGAGAGGGATGGTGGCCGCGACGCTGGCTGCCCGCCCTGCCCAGCACCCGGGCATGGATCGTGCCGGATTCCACACCCGGGGAAGAGCAAAGCTTCGAACAGGAAGTACAGTTTCCACTGGACCCACAGCTCTTTGGTCCCACTCTGAAGTCCAAAAAGTCCTGAGTCCAGACATCGTGAATCAGGGACCGTGTGAGCAGCACCTCTTAGGCTGTGGTCCGGGGACGGCCTGTTGATGGAAGTCGGGCTGGAGTGCGGCTGCCCTTGGCAGTCTCGGTTTTTCTGTCACAGAGGAGATAGCCGGGACACCCACCCCTCAGAATCGAGGCGAGGGCTGAACGAGACGGCGGAGGGGGGGCAATCAGCCCAGCAGCCGGAAGTAGCGGGTGCTCTGTGAGCCTGGGAGGTCGTTTCTCCCCGCGCTCAGCTTGAGCCCAGACCACCCCTTCCCCAACAGCCGCTGCCTCCCTTCGCAGCCCTGGCCTCCCGCAGCCTCCATCCCTCCGCTCCACGCCTGCCCTTGGATCTGAACACAGGGGCGTGATTTTGTGCTTACAATTTTCCTTTCAGGGAACCTGGTCCTCTGCTGGGGACCCCACCCCGGCCAGCGAGTGAGTGATGCTGCCTGGGGCTGCTTCCCGGATCCCACACCACCCTGCCCCGGAGTCCCAGCACCCCGCTGAGTTCCACAGATGTGGGTGTCCTGGTTGTCCAGGGTCCAGTCAGTCTGGTCCTGGCATGCACACGGCTGAAGTCTGGGCAGGGGCACAGAGCAGGCACGGCTCTGGAGTGCAGGACATGGATTTGCTGGACATGTCCCAAGAGGTGCTGGGGACGGCCTCCAGCCCACAGAAGCTTATTACAATTCAAGGTCTGCTATCAAGAATAAGGTCAGAATTCTAGAAGGCTCCTTTTAGCTGCCATAGCTCAAGGAGTTTGACTAATGAGCACCGAAGTGCTCACCCCCAGAACGAAGTCTCCCTGGAGAGGGGGCTTCCCAGGCACTGTCTGCACCTCCTCCGGGGACTGGGGGAGCTCACCTGGGCCCCTGCCCCTTGCTCGTTCCACAGCATTAAGGGGCCAGGCTTTGGGAAGAGGAGAGCCGGAGTCCCGGCGCTGGTGGCCACCCATTCATCCACCCATGCACTCATTCAGAATCCAGTGACAAACAGCTGAGTAACTTCCATGGAGTCAGTCGTTAACGGACCCAGCAAACCTCCGCCTACCTGGCCTCACGCTCTGGGGGAGACGCAGACGGCAAGCCACAGGTTGGAGCAGAGTGTGGCAGGGAGGGGATGGAGTGGGTGGAGGGAGGGGGCCTGAGCACTGGACATGGGGAGGGCAGCTCTTCGAGGAGGTGACACTGAGCCCGAGAGCCGAGTGACGAGGAGGAGCCTCCCAAGGAGGACGGCCAGTGCAAAGGCCCTGAGGTGGAGATGAGCTCGCCACACAGGGACGGTGGTAGGAAGGTCCCCCAAGCCAGAGTCGGAACAAGAGCAGAAGATGGAGTCGGGGTCACGTGGTGCCCTGCGGGCGGGGAAGGGGGTTTAGGGTCTCCTTTGAAGGTGACTGGAGGCCACTAAAGCGTCTTGAATGAGGAGGGATGTAATTTGCTTAAAAAACATCACCTGAGCTGTCCTGCGGGGAACTGGCTTGTGTCTGGGCGGGGCGGGGGGAAGAGCCAGGCGGAGGCGGGTGCAAGGCCCTCCCTCTGACCCCATGTCCCAGCCTGTGCGGCTGAGGCCACAGCGTGCCCTGCCGGGATTTTCCTGCACTCGAATCCGCCTCCTCTCTGGTTTAGCCATAGCCCAGCCTCGCTGCCCGTTCCCCAGGCCTCCAGTGGCACACGCTCTCTCCCACGCTCCGCGGGCCCCTCCCTGCTCTCCCACCCCCTTGCTCCGAGGCTCTGGAGGAGTGTTCCAGAAGCTCCCTGGCACACACAGATGCCATGGCAACGGCAGCTCCGTGACAACAGCCGAGGATGCCAGACAGGAGCTCGCCAGCCCAGAGAGCCACCATCTGGGAGGCCAAACCCTCCCCTTGTCGCTCCGCTGAGCTCCTGCACCGAGGAGGCGACATTTAAGTGAACAATGAACAGTGAGCGCACGTGCAGTCCCTTTAAAGTGCACATTTCTCTGCCCCAAGGGCTCGGGCCAGGGCAGGTTTTAGTCGAGGGAGATTGGGATGGCCCCCAGGGGAAGGAACGCAGAGTCCAGCGCCTCCCCTGGATGGCGCTCCCCGCCCAAGCCCACCCCTCTCTCCGGAGCCCACCTTCCCCAGCAGCAGGGATCCGGTTAACCCTTCCGGGCTTGAGTTCCCAGGGGCCGCCTCTGTGCCACAGCAGCTTTCCTGCAGAAGCCACAACACTCACCCCTGGCGTGAATTCTCTCATCCACCCTGGACTTGGGAGCAGGCACCGCAATGAAGCTCCCCTTCTACACGCCTGCCTGGGGGGCAGGCGCTGGGGCCCCGAGGGCTGAGCCCCGGCTGGGACACTCCCATCCCCTATCAGGGCGCTGGTCCCCGTCCTGGCTCCTCCGCCCCTGACCCAGCTCTCTGCTAGTGCACCTGGGAAGCCACAGAGGACGGCTCCAGTGCTTGGGTTCCTGTCACTCACATAGGAGCTCCTGGCTCCTGGCTTCAGTCCGGCTCAGCTTTGGCTGTTGCAGCCGTGTGGGCAGTGGACCAGCAGGAAGAAGGTCTCTCTCTCTCCAACTTTGCCTTTCAAATGAGTAAATAAAAATAAATCACGAAAAAAGAGAGCACGTGCTGGGCGGAGGGCAGTGTCCAGGGCCATCTGTGGGAGTGAGCTCCTCACCCCCAAGGGGCCTGGCCTGCTCAACTCTGCCCTCAGAGAGCTCCCTCCAGCTGCTCCTGGCGCCCTGCGTGTTCAGAGTCCAGTGGTCATGGAGGCATGAAGGCCAGCCCAGCAGACCCCCAGGCCCCGACGCGCACCGCGAAGGATTAGCGCATGCATGTGCGGCAGGAGTCCGCGGCACACCAGGCAGCGGCACTCCCACGCCGCGCCGTAGGCTCACTCTCTCCACCTGCCCTTGCAGTCTTGAGCTCCTGCAGGACCAGCTCTAGGCCTCTTCCTGTCTCCTCTCCCCAAGCACAGGTCCTGCGGGGCAGCTACGGAAGTGAGAGGAGAAGAGGCTCCCAGGGAGATGGCCGCTCATGTGCAGCGGGCGGCTGCACAGCAGAAGGAGCATCCGGGGACTTCATCTGGGCCACCCGCCCTCCCTGGACCCCGACAGGGCCTGGCGGGGGCTGTGGAGCATGGTTGGGACCGCCTCTAGGTGCCAAGAGTGCACGGGGCAGCTGGCCAGGGCCCCCTCAGGAAGCTGGGGCCCCAAAGCCGAGCGTGCAAGGCCCAGGTGGAACCTGGAACCGAAAGCGTGGAGCTTGCCGCACGCGGGGCAGTGGCTGTCCGCCAGCAGCTGCCTAAATCCGTGGACGCTTTGGGCAACCAGGGGGACGAGCGGAGCTCGGGGGCTCGGCGTGAGGTGGGGCAGGGACTAGGGGAGGGCCCATTAGCAGGGTCAGGGTGAGGACAGCAGGTGCCCTCTGGGGGATGTGGCGATGGGTATGTGTGGAGTTAGAGGTAGCAGAGGGAGCGATCGGTGGGCGCAGAGCGCAGGGGGGAGGCTGCACTGGGCAGGCACGGCAGTGCCAGCAGCCAGGGCCCAGCTCTGCCGGCTCCACGTGTGCCTGGAGGTTTCCCGTGCTCTCCGCTGCAAGTCTCTGACCTGGGTAACCGGCACCGCCCGAGGGCCCTCTTGCCTGACCCCATCCTGACCCCAGCCAGGCTCCGCTGGTTCCCTCTCGGTTCCTTTTCTGTTCAGCAGCCCCCTGGGCGGGCAGCCTAGGCCGTCTGGGAGGGCCCGAGTGCCCCACGCTGCCCGTGCTGCCCTCCCGCTGGCCGGGGGAGGCCCACACGTCCTCGGGACTCACAGGTGAGGTCATCTCCTTGGCTGGGGGATCAGGAGTTCCGGGAAGAGCCAACCCCGCCCGCCCCAAGGCCGGACCCACTTTAACTGCTTCCTGGCCTGTGGGCCCTCCTCCCCCGCCTCCCAGCGGGAGGGCCTGTGGGACAGACTCGCGGCCCAGCGTGGGTGGAGGCATGGCAGAGTGTGTGAAGAAGCAATGGTGGCCAATGCGGGAAACCTCCACACGGCGTCACCCTGTGGCCCTGGTGTTAATGGGGGGATGCCGGCTACTGGGAGCTGAGGCTTACGTAACAAGGGATTCCCTCTGAGGAAAAAAAAATGCAAGGACAGATCCAGGGCTCCATGGTGGTCTATGCGAGTAGGGGCTGGGGGAGGCGGTTGCAGACTGCTCCTTTTTATTTTTTTTAAAACATTTATTTATTTATTTGAAAGGTGGAGTTACAGAGGCAGAGAGAGAGAGAGAGAGGGAGAGAGAGGTCTTCCATCTGCTAGTTCAGTCCCCAAATGGCCTCATGGCTGGAACTGGGCCGATCCAAAGCCAGGAGCCAGGAGCTTCTTCCTGGTCTCCCCTGTGGGTGCAGGGCCCCAAGGACTTGGGCCATCCTCCACTGCTTTCCCAGGCCATAGCAGAGAGCTGGCTGGGAAGAGGAGCAGCCGGGACTAGAACCGGCGCCCATATGGGATGCCGGCTCTGCAGGTGGCAGCTTTACCCGCTCCGCCACAGCGCCAGCCCCAGACTGCTTCTTTATCAGCACGGCAAACGCTCTTCTGCTGGTGGCTTGCCGGGAAGCAAGGTGCCCCAGGGTCATGGGAGCTCGGCAGCCCTGCCTTCCCCACTTCCTCCTGGCCTGACCGCCAACCGCAGGCCACACTTTCACCCTGATTGCTTCCCCTTGAGGCCTGCAGGTCTGAGGCGCATGCCCGCCTGCCCCCGCACGGCTCGGCTGCAGGTGCACCTGCCCCCACTCAGTGGTCCCCTTTTGCTGTCCCAGCCCCCAGCCTCCTGAGCCCCGCGATTGCTCCAGACAGCCAGTGCAGACAGCAGTGCAGGTGCGGCCAGGAGCCCTCGTTCCTGTCACTCGCTCACCGCTGCTGACCCTGGAGCAGGCCCTGGTGATCCGTGATACGTCTCCGATGGCCGCAGAAGCCAATGACCGCAAACTGGGCAGCAGCCTGAGACGGGGCATGCCAGGGCCGCCTCCCTCTGGTGGCTCGAGGGGAGGAGCCTTCCTGGCTGCCCAGCTCCCGGTGCCCCGGGGTCCTTGGCCTTCACAGTGTCCTCCAGCTGTTCATCAGCGCACCTGTCACCCTGACTCCCTGATGACGTCACCTGCAGATCCTTACCTTGGGCAAAGACCTCTTCCCCAGTCGGCCACTGTTCCAGGAACTGCCGGGGCGAGGACCTGGATCTGCCTTTTTGGGAAATGCAATTCAGGGGAAGAAAGATCAGGGGCGGGCTGCTGGGCTGCTCTGCCACTGCAGGACCCAGGAGGTGGGCCAGGCCCCCGCCCCGGGGCACCCATGGCAGCCCACCCTTGGGGGCACCTGGCTTGGCACCTCCCTGCAGCAGCCAGGCAGGGACTTTTCCAGCCTTCCCTACGGACTCCT